GATTGCCAGTACATTTTTTAGTAGCAGTCCCTTGGAAGCTTTGTCAATTTTTGTTAACACGAACTGGAGAAATCCATTGGGTGAAGATTTGGGGTAGGATGGAGAGGAAGAAAGAGAGAGTGAGAGATGAGAGAAATGTTATTGTGAGCCTGGAAACATTTACAAGATGCATCATTCTCCCAGAGTTTTCCAACTGCCTTCTGTCTTATCTAATGGGCAAGGTAGTACATTAATGCTGAGTACTTGCCCTATGAACATCTGACACTTTTCAGGTGTCTCACTCCAGACACCAAGAATTAATTCTATTTTGAAGATCTAGCCCTTAAAAAAAAAAAAAAAAGCAGCTTTTCAGGCCTCATATATTATAAAGGAAGGGATTTTTGCCATACAGGTCACCTTTAACTTGCTAGTAGACCTGTACTGCGTGGGGTCATCTGGTTGGTCTGTTATGTATTTTAGGCACAAGTCAGGGGCATTCTTTAAACAAGCTTTTATTCTGGGTTTGTGCTTTCAGAGAAAGAATTAACTTACCGCATAAGGGATCCCAAACTCTTCCAACATATCTATAGCAATATTGTCTGCTTTCTGAATTCCTGTTACACCATCCACTAATAAGAATGTCCTCTTCAAGCTGCCAAAGGCACAAAGAGCTAAGTGGCAATGATGGTCTCAGTTCAGTAGCAATGAGAAGTGATTTCAGCCCCCACACAGCCCTTCATATCCACTACAGTTCATCCTGAGAGGAATTGGTGCAGGCCATCACCTTAAATATTTCTTGGGGCTTTGATCTGCCCAGGCATAAGAGACTGATTTACACAATAAATCAAACTTCTCCCACTTCTGTTCAAAAACTGATCAGGGAGTTTAATGCACCTAATGCACCCCTTAATACATTTTAGTTTATGTTTCTCTCTGCCATCTAATATTTGCAAATATGTGCCTTGGAACTGCAGAAAGCAATACCAGAACTGCATTTGGTAGCCCTCTTACTTCTCCCTTTCTTGTAGATAGGCTTCCACCATCTCAGTAAAGTCTTCTGGGGCGCGGTATCCGTAGCCAGGCATGTCCACCAATGTAAAACATTTCCCCACCTTGAAGAAATTAAGTTTCTTGGTGTGACCCTGGAGTGAGAGAACATTTTTAAGTATTAGCCAAAGGCAGAGCAGATGATAGGATGATCTAAAAAGGTTTTTTACATTAAGCACATAAGCTGCATGTGGAGAAAATCAAGACAAAATTTGACAGGCCTAGAAGTTGGGAAAGTACGGTATATTTTTTGCATACAACAAGCACTTTTTCCCCACAATACAGCTGCTGGAAATTGGAGTGCACATTATATATGAAAAATACAGTAAGAACAAATTCTGTCATTTCCTGGACAAAAACAAAAATAAAATCTGCAGCAATCCACAGGAAGCAAAACAATGAGTAGTCTTGGCTCCTGGTTGCTGCTATTCAATAAATCCGTACAAGGAAAGATCTTTTTTCTCATTCTGCCTTTCAAAAACAAATGGCACATTTTATTCCAGGGCATGTTGTATGCAGGAAAATGCAGTATTTCAGATCTACTTACACTCAGCAGCAGCATAACCTAAGTGACCCCACTGTCTGGAAGAGGGAGGCACTTGTGAAAGCAAGGAACTGATTCAGGATTTAGTGGAAAAAATTCCCTTGGACTAACAGTAGATGAAATCAGCTTAAGTTTGTCGAAGTGCAATTATGTAAATCTATATGGTGATGATGATGTAGGTTTGGCCAGTAGGGACATGTATACTGATTTATATTTCTGAGATTAAAAGTATTTTTTAAAGCTGAGTGAGTGGAGGGAGGCAGGCCAGATGCAATCTAGAGCAGAAAACTTGTACAAACATTCCCATTCAACTGTGGCGAGCAGAAAGCTTCCCACAAAGAGCCAGAGTAAATCACCTGTGCACGGGAGCACGTCTCAGCTTTGGAGAAGAAAGTCTGGAATCTTCCAAATACCCCATGAGCTGGAAGCAAGACAAAGGTGTCAAGTGCCTCCAGGCTGCCATCATATGAGTAACCTCCACCTGCCCTTTTGCAGCTCACACGTGCAAATTTAAGTTAACAGAGATATGGAGCCATGCCCCTGAATCAGCCATATCATGCAGAAAACTGGATGATGTTGAGGTTTGGAGTAAAAAAAATGGGATGGAATTCAACAGAACAAAATGCATGACTATGCCATTGGGGACCAAGAACAAAAACTTCTTCTATAAGCTGGGAGTTTATCAGTCTGAAACAACCAAGGAGAAGGACACAATGCAGCCATAAATAAGGAAAATGCAATCCTAATTGGGAGAAATATCTCCAATACAAACAGGGAGCCAGTCATGCCATTGTACAAGGCCCTGGTGAAGGCTTATCCTGAATTCTGTGTACAACACTGGTCATCAACCTTGAGCGTGCATGAGCTGGAAAAGGTACAAGGATTGGCTGCTAAGAAGACCAGGTGCATAGCGAGTCTGCTTTTGAAAGGAAACTAGAAAACTGTGGCTCCTTCAGCACAACAAAATGAGAAGGAACAGGATGTCTGGCAAGAAATACAGTGTAGGGCTAAACATCACAGAGCAGAAGTAGTATTTAAGGTTGGGGGACAAGCTGACACAAAACCAAGTGGGTAAAAACTGACTGCAAATAGATTTAGACTGAAAATTAGAAGGTGGCTTCTAACTCTCAGAGGGAGGAGGACTTAAGTCAGACTGTGCATCTGCCCTTCAGAAAGTGACTAAGAACACCTCTGTAGAGCTCTTGCATTCGTTTTGTTTCAAGAAACTCTACAACAAGCATGTTCTGCTTCCAGGATTTCATCCACTCCCAACATACTCTCCCTAAACTCTGAGGGCTCTTTCCATCTTATGCATTCATTACTTCACCAGAGATTCTGCTACTGAATTCTGTGCATTCTAGTGGATGCACAGTGGACCAGACACTAACTCACTCAGCCTAAAGCAAAGTTTGGCTCTCATTCTCCCAGCCCACCCGAATGGCACCAGCATCCAACTGAGATGGAGGGAATTCCAAAACGGCACCTACCGGAGTTTTTGACACTCTCACTTCAACTTCTGGAGCCAGAGAAAATAAAGCCTTTATTAAGCAGGATTTCCCAACGTTGCTTCGGCCCATAAAGCACACCTGGAGGGAGAGAAAAGGAGAGCGTTGCAGCATTCTTCTCTCCCTTGCCCAGTACTTTCTATTGCAACAGGAGTGGGTCCTGCAGTTCTTAAAGCCTTGCCAGCCTGGGTGTGGGAAGAATGACTATATACTTCCAGCCTAAGCCTGGGCTCTGGGTTCAATACCCTACTCTGCCTGGAACTTCCTGTGTGACCCTGAAGAGGTCGCTTCAGGAAGATCCTATTCCACCCATTGTGTGTCCCACTCTAAACATGATCTGCTGCTTAAGTACCTGGAATGCCTCTCTTTTTGCAACATACTTTCATCATAGCCTTAAGACTATGTCACAAAAAGCTGCAACAAGGAAGAACCACCCACCTTCTGCACTGATGGTTTTTCAGGACTTGAGCAGGATGGAACAGAATCACATTTAACTCAGATGCGTTGGTTCTTCTTAGGGTGCCTAACCGATGAAACAGTATCTGGCCCTAAGTTTCCCAGTTCCACATCTGTAAAATGGGGATAAACAGTAGGGCTGTGCGAAGCTTCAGTTCCTGATTCAATTCAGTGGAGATTCGGTAGCCAAATCTCCAAATCCAGATTGAATCAGAGGACCCTCTAATCTCTTCAACTTGAATTGGAATCCTCCGAATCAATTCAGACATAGACAGAGCTTTAATTTTTTCTACACAGCTCTAGGTAGCAGGTGGCTCATGAATGCTGTGATGGTGGGATGGACTGAGCATCCCACAGGAGTGCAGGCGGCTCCCCAGCACACTCGGCAGTGAACGCAGAAGTGGATCATGAGCACTTCCAGTCCACTTCTGGGTCTGTTGGTGACTGTGCAGGGGGCCTCCCTGTGTGCCTCCCCCCCCCGGCAACTGGTGCCTCTTGGGTCTGGGGTCCGATCACTGAGCTGAGGGGAGGGGAGGTGCAGGGTGGCCCCCCAGTGCACTCCCCAGCAGACCCAGAAGTGGACTGGAAGTACTTCCAGTCCACTTCCAGGTTCACTGCTGGGCACATGGGGGGCCCCCCCCCCCATGAGATGCTCCATCCTCCCCAGCATTGCAGCATTCACAAGCTGTGCCTGGTACCTCAAAGTATGTAGAAAAACCATTTAAAGCTATGTCTAGATCGTAATAGCTGACTCCCAAATCAGCATCGAATCTTCAGATTCGGATTCAGCTGAACTGAATCACGGCCAGTGATCCGAATCAACAAATCAAATCGCTGTCCCTGATTCAGGCCAGATCCGAACCGAATAGGGCCTGCTTCACACATCCCTATTAACTAGTTCTTTCCCTATCCTACAGAGGTGCTGCTGTAACATAATACACACCAGATCATGGGGTGCTCAGATGCTGTGGTGAGAGAGGCCAGACAAGTACCTCAGATAAACAATGGGTCTCATCCAAGCAGTCCCTGGATCTCTCTCATACATATGTATGTAAACACCTTCAGAAGAAGCCAAGAGAGACACAGAACCTGATGACTCAATG